TTGCATTTAAACCTACTTTGTACACTGATGCTCAACATTCACTCTCGATAGCTTTGTGGTCAGGACAGAGTGGTTTAAAACATAAGTTATAAACATGTTCAGGCATTGTTTGGACTGTGATTCTGGAATGATCATCATATGCACATGTGAAGCACTTTCAGTGACTTGATGGTTTAATCGTAGAATTATAGAATAGTTTGGATTGGAAGGGATCTTTCAAGGTCATCTAGTCTGACCACTCTGCAATAAGCAGGGACATCTTCAACTAGATCAGGTTGCTCAGAGCCCCGTCGAACCTGACCTTGAATCTTTCCAGGGATGGGGCATCTACCACCAATCTGGCCAAGCGCTCAACATGCTCTTTTCGAAGCTTTGGGTCACAGCAGAGAATCCAGCTGCTGTCGGCCCACAGATCAATATTTCAATCTGCAACATGCCACCCAGCCTTCGGAGGTGGCACAGCGAGCACTGCCACAGTTCCCACCCTGGCAGCAGTGTCCCAGGGCTGACGGGCCAATACCTCAGCCTGGGGTCCTGCTGCCGGTGCAGGCTGCTCTGTGGTACCTGTCCTGTGAAATCAGAGAGCACAAGCCAAGGAAGATGCTACATCCTCCCCACCCTCTGACCCATCTTCACTGCACGTGCAGAGGCCCTTCACTCCCTCCAGGTGTTTTGTTCTGGGCTGCTTCAGTTCTCATTTCAAATAACACCTGCTTTCAGAGCTGCTCTTTGGTCCCTGGATGTGCAGGACCGATACGATTATATATATATATATATATATATATATACTCTTTCAGTCTATGATGGCAGTTACATGTATTTCATCACATTACCATGCATTGATTCCTGCTGTCATCCCAGGTCTTCCCAGCAGCTGACCACATTAACCTTTTAGAAGAATGGGTTGTCTCTGAACATGCAGGAAAAACCAGTTGCCTTGGACAGCTAAAGTATTGCTGTGGCTCTCGTGTTCTCTGAAGAATTCTCTCAAATCCCTCCAGTAGCTAATTTTAGAGAATCCCTGACAATAAACCACTGGGAAACCAACCAACCCCCTTGGCTTGGTCCCGTAAGAAGCAGCCCTTGGTTCTGCCAGTTCATCATGGACTGCTAAATTGTATTTGTATTTACCTTGAGGATTTTATTTATCATTGATCATTATTCCCAGTGATGTCTCCAACGTGCAGTCAGCTGTTTTGCTGCAGAAAATTAGTAATACTTGAGCCCTAATTATTGGAGGTACTCCCCTGGAAGCAGCAGCTTGCAGGGCTCTGCCCCATGACCCAAGTGTCTGTGATACGGCCTCTCCAGCCCCTACAAAGATCAAGTTTAAAATCCCTGCCTGTAAAAACTGATTCAGAGATGGCCAAATTGTTCTGAAAGGGTGGCTCAGCTCATTTTCTATAAAATTTTATCTGTCACGTGCAAATGTGTATCTTGAAGTTGCTGTGCTGCCCTCCCAGCCTGCCCCTTGGCAGGGACACCAGCTCCTGAGGAGCCGCACCAGTTACTCTGATTTTGTTGTGGAAGTCCAGCTCGAGTGGGAGGAGGGTGGGTTGTTGGAGGAACAGGAAGGAACAGAGGTGGAGACAAACACTGTTTTTTCCCACCCACATCTATCTTTGAGTTTTGCCTTTCCCCACAACTGCTTTAAAAGCTAATGGGGATCCAGAGATGCAGAACAGCTCTGCGTGTTGACGCCCTTTCACATTGCCCTTGTGGGGATGGATCCACGTTGCAACGGGTCCTTTTTTATTTCCATCTTGTAACCCCTGTTATCCACCATGTTGGGTTTTTTTAAAGCTCTGTTCAACATCTGATGTAAATGAGAAGCAGTGCTACTGGAAAATGTTTGGGAAAGGGTTTCATCCCACAAGGCCTGCCACTGGCCACAGGCTGACCTTCTCCAAGACGTTTCACGCGTTTCCTATTTTCTGACCATTTGCCATGGGGGGGAAAAAATAATTTTTATTTTTCTAAACCAGATTTTATTTTTGAAAACAGTTCAAATAATAAATAACAACCTATTAACCCAGCATGCTTTAATGCTCCGAATCTTAATATAAAGACTACAGAGAGCACAAACATAACATTAAAAAAAAAAAGCATGCACAGTTATTTCTCCTGCCCAGCGCCTCTCCCCCATAGTGCACGCAAGCTGTCTCTTTAATAATGCAAAGGAGCAGTAAATTTCAAGCTGAGGATGGGCAATAACAAGGAGAGTTATTTCCACAATGCCCCAGTGTCAGCCCCTGGCTTAGGAGCACACCTTATTAGTTCTAACAGGCTGGTTAGCATCGGGTCACCTCTGCGGCTCCGCTCCCCAGCAGGGTCACCCGTCTCCAGGCTATATTTGGGGAGAGGGGGAAGGGAGACGATTTTTAGAGATTCTCTTATCGCCCAGCATTTTTAGCACTGTTTATTTTTATTTACACCTCCACCCCCCTCTCACCCCCCCCCCTTTATTTTATGCCTTGCCTTTCTCTTGCCCTCTCTCCCACCCAGTATATCTTTGCAACCTGCATAAATCCCTCATGGTGGGTAAACCCCTCCCCTGCGAGAGCAAATTAAACCACGTTACTGGGGGGGTTTCATCTGTATTTCTTTTCAGAAAAGAAATAATTCAAATTAATCAGGCTGTGTTTGTGTATGGGCAAATAACAAAGTGCATTAGAAATTTTTAATGAAAGCGAGCCCAACATGGTTGCACTCCCAATTAAGCATGACTGTGGCATGAGTGTCCAAAATAGAACGGTTGTGTGTGTGAGATGGGCAATGTGAACCCCCCACCTCTGGTTTTAGGGGCCACAGAAATCGTATTTAGGATGGTTCCTTTAAAGCAAGATAACCCAAGTATCTTTTAAATGGAATGTTCTTTTTTTTTTTTTTTTCTTCTTAACTGAAATGTATGAAAAGCTGCACATTATGGAAATGTATATGTGGGGTTTTTATATGTTCCTGTCTCCATCAGCCCCCTCCCCCACCCGCCAGTTCCCATCCAAAAATGAATGCAAAGAAATACTATTAGGCTGTCTGGTTATGTATTTTTTATGAGGCCATACAAGACACTGCCTGACCTCGTGCAGCTCATGTTATAACCACATTGAAGATGCTTTTCATTTGGGTTCTGCTTTTCAGCCTGGATGACCTCTATTAAATAAAAAAAAAAGAAAAAAATGGCCTAATATGTGACCCCTGGGACTAGTCGCTTCAAGGATTACATTTAATTCATATGATAATATTGAAATATAATGTTTCTGTGTCTAATGTTTTGGATGTTTTTTCTTTCTTCTTTATTTCAGGGACCCTTTGAGTCTTGTCAAAGATTTTTTTTTCTTTTTTTTTTTTTTTTTTTTAAAATCTGTTTTGGGGGGAGGACAAGTAACTCCTGCTCGGTGGTCGGATTCTTAAAAATCACCTTTCTCCCTTTGGAGAGCGGGCGTGAATACAAAAGAGCGCTCTTCCCACTGTCTTTGATGGAGAAGAAGAGAAACAAAGGCAGAGAAATTATTTTTTATAAGAAAGCGTGTCTGCCAGGAGCTCGTCAAAATAAAGAACCACTCTTTGTTTTGGCGTTTGCTTAACCAGTTGATAAGGAGTGACCTGCTTTCCCCCGCTCCCCACGCAACCTGGCTGGGGGGGGGGGGGGGGGGGGGGCAGACCCCCCTTTACCTCCTTCCTCGCCTCCAGCTCCCATTGTCTGCCTCGCCACCGCCGCAGCCCCTCCACCACCAAATACACACGTATTTACTGTACGAACCCGCCCGCAAACACCGCTCCTGCGCCTGCTTGTGTCGCCCCGGCATCAGAGCAGCGCAGCCCGGGGTATGATGGAGCATCCCAGCCTTTCTGACAGACAACACATATTTCAGGGCTTTATAACTTCTCCATAAAAACGTACTCCGGGATGAAACACGACTTGCGACGGTTCAGCTTAGGAGCAAATTTGCTTTTGCCAATTGCAAAAATAAATTTGACCCCTCCTAAATATTCCGCATGCAAAAAAATGTTTAATAAAGTACATTTTTTTTTTTTCCCTTCCCCTGGTCCTCTTACTAAAATCACGTTGTGAGGTGTAGACTGGAATCCGGCAATCAGTCAGCAATCTGATCGGAGACCTTGCCCTGGGAAGCAACGAAGCCCTTAATCATTCTCGGTAATGACATGTTTGTAAAAAAAAAAAAAAAAGTGCCACATGTGTGCACCACGTATTGCCAGCAAACATCTAATGCCAGGGGTGTTAAAAAGTGGAGGTGACGCGTGCGGCGCTGGTGTGTGTTTGGGGCGAGGGGTTCTTCTCCTCCTCGGAGCCCACGCGGGCTGTTGGCCCCGTCTGCCCCACGGCGCCTGACAAAAGCCGTGTCTTTTCAGAACAATAGGCCCGTGCTCCTGGATCCCCGGTCCTGGAACACGGGGACGCCACTTTTGTGACATTTTGCAAGGGGGTACATAATTCTGATGATTTTTCCCCCCCCTTTTTCCTACTGTGAGTGGAGCTATGAGATAGTAAAATTGAATTTGTGCAAAAATCCACCTCAAATACCGCTAGGGTTGCGCTGAAAGAGCCCAAGTGGGTTAACGTGTGGTTCAGGGGTGAAGGTGGAGGTGGCAGAGATGGGGGTGAGAGTGTTGCACCCCACAAACCCTCCTTGGGACCCCGCGGGGCAGGGGCCGGCAGGAGTTGGCGCATGAACTCCGGGTGCCGTTGCCTTCATTTTGCCTCACAGGCTGAACCTTGACAGTTTTGGGGCAAAAGTCTAATTAGCATGATGTACGTTCCATGTAAATGCACCCCGGCGTTTTGTGTAGGATATTTAAAAAAATAAATATATATCTAGAGAGAGGCTTTTGGTTCCCTTTTGTAAGGCATGAAGCTGTGACCCTCCCCTCCTCTCCTCCCTCCCCCTGTAGCCCTAGACTTCACCATGCCCTGACTGCTAGCTTAACATGGAGTTGTCTTTTTTTTTTTTTTTCTTTTATAAACCCAGTCACAACACGGAGGAGAAGAAGAGGAGGAGGAGGAGGAAGAGAGAGCAAGAGAGAGAACTAAAAACCCCCTGAAGGATGGTTCTCCAAAACTGCTGGCGGAACCAGGGGGAATTCCGGGGCGAGCGGGAGCCGGGCGCGGAGGTAAGGCGCTCTGCGCCCACCCTGTTCTCCCCGCGCGTGTGTGTGTGCGTGTCCGTGTGTGTGCGTGTCCCCAACTCCCCACCCGGGGCTTTTTTTGGGGTTAGAACCCGGCGGGGAGGCGGTTGGAAGGAAACACCTTCGCTCGCCGGCTGCTTAACGCAATCTGGGAGCGGCGCTGATGTGAATATGCAAATAGGGGCCGCGCCGTCACACGTGTGCGCGGCCGCTCCCCCCTCCCTCCGCCGCCGCCGCC